TGGGGTTATGCAGCTGAAACAGTTGGCTCCATACACCCTATGTGATTTCCCACATTTCCAGAGACATTTTGCCGTTTCCGTCACTAAGATAGGAGGGAAATCTCAGAGATGAACAAATGGAAATGGAACATAGATTAAAAACCGTATCTATGTAGGTAACATGAATCAAACTAAGGTTGTGGACTAACGTTTTGCTGTTTTATCAGAAAATGGAAAACGGACAATTTGCTAAGTTGCTTGATGACAACAAGCTTAAGGGACCAAACTATGTCGATTAGTACAGAAACCTTATGCTAGTCCTGACTTCAGAAAAACTAGATAAGGTGACAAAGAATCTTACACCGGATCGTCTAGGAGACAGGGATAAAGGGGATACAATATACAAAGAACCCACTATCATGGTGAGCAATAAAGTGTTTGCTTGGAATCTTTGGGTGCATGTAGGTATTCACCCCTGCTCCATAAAATTGCGGCAATCACAAGGTAGAACCAATGAAGAAAATGTCATGCCATCAGGACATGTGTTGTTAAAGACCAATTGAGTAATCTAGCACTAATGAACATGGAAAAAACGAGATTTTCAAACAATTACACATTACATACATAACTAAAACACGATAAACAAATTGCTAAACAATTTTATACTAAAATAAAACTCAATCTATGAATCAAGAAAAAGAGAACAATCAAATACAAACAAAAAGTTGAAACACCATATTCAAAGCAACTAAGTGACAAGAATAAACAAAACAACATAGCCTAGAAGCTGATAAAATGATCAGTATAAATTTTAGGGTCCACTAATAAACCAAAACCTTAGGCTATGTTCGGCTTGAAGGAAAATGCAGGTAAAGGAAGGGAAAGGTGGGGAAACCTTTACAAAAATTGTATAGGTTTCCCCGTCTTTTACTTATTTGCCCTACCTTTTCTTTCAAACCAAACATAGCCTTAGGAGTTATTGATTCATTCCTAAACATTCAATAAATAAGTGTAAAATGCATATCCTTGTCCTATATTCTAGAAAAAAATAAGTGTAATATACATTTACCTTCTTCTTCTCAGGCGACAACGACGTACTTGTGTTCTTCTCCAGTCATAGCGAAAAAAACCCCTTCCCCCACGATGATTGCAAGTGAGAATTTCCTCTCCGTTCTCCACGATGACTGTAACTGAGCTCCAACGTTCTTCTCCAGCCACTGAACGGTGGCATTTAACCAATAAATCCGGCGGACCATAGTTCTCGGCGAGAATTGTGGGCTTTTTTCTCAAGGTTTTGTCGGAAGTATGAATAGTTTACTTACATTTCGTTATTGGGGTGAGAAGGCCATTTTGGTCGTTTTGAATAATTGCCCAAGTGACCAATGACTTAACGGAAGGGTATTTACGTAAAATACTTCTCCGTCAACTAGGCTAATGGATAGGGGTAGGGGTCTATGTCACAAAAAAAAGTACAGAGGGTATCTGCCATAGACCCTATAATACAGGGGGTCCATGTAATTTACCAAAAAAATACATAAATAGGTCAGAGGTACTTGGGCGTCAAAATGTTTTTCAAACAAAAAAAAGAAGAGCAGGTGCATTTTTTATAGCATAGGGGTCTGATTGTAACTTACCCAAAGAAGAAGCAAAAGTTTTGAAGTCACGTTTTCCACGAGTAAATCACTGTCATTGTTTCATTCTTTGGATATTTCTGTGAATCACAACGGTTACTGACGGTCGTTATCCTTATTTCTTCCAGCGGTTTTAAGAATTGACGAAGGCCCTTCCGGATATTGCCGTGATGGATCGGATTCGAATCTCAATTATTAAACCTTTATTTTATTTTATTTTTTTAAGGTAATGGCCAATTTCATTAAGAATGCTTACAATCTCAAATTCAACCCATAAGGGTACAATCGGCAATAAAAGCCAAAAAATGAGAAGATCTGATAAAAATACAAATCCTTAGCTCCAGGAGAGAAATCTTGTAAGAACTCTGCAATGTTTGGTACCGAAACAGTTATTGGAAGCAATAATTTTGTCTAAAAGTCCAATCCAGCCAGCCAAACTCTTAATTTCTATTATTCATTTCTACTTATTCTCATTTTAAGTCACTTTGATGCAATTAGGCGCCACAAAAATGATTTCGATACCAAACACTATCCATGCTGTTGAAGAAACTGGATTCAATCAGTGCAAGGTCCATTTCCAATGTGAGGCAGTAAAGGCTGTTCAAACCGTGTTCGAATGGGTCTTGCACTGATTGAAGTCAATCTCACTACTTAACACTTCCAAAAAATGAGTTAAATTTTAGATTTTAACTAAAAAATACTTCCGGTGAATAACATATCCTTAAAACTTTTTGTTAAAGCTATTGTTTATATAGTTAGTAATAATAAGTAGAGGCAGAATTAAAAACAGTAAAGTCGGCCCTTGGCCCCCCAAAACTTAAACTTAGATGTTAAAGATCACTCTTTAATGCTCTCTTTCAACGCCCAAAATTAGAAAAAAAAAAAATCAAGGATATTAATGTTTAGGTGGAGATGTTTGAAATTTTGAATTATTGTAGATTTTTAGGGAAATTCAGAATCACAACATATTAAATATTTACAAAAAATAAAAATTTTTACAAAATATCTGGGAATATAATATTAAATAGAACCCATTAACTTTACTAATCAACATTTATACCAAAAATGGTTTTTAATTTTAGAAAAACTATAGAAACAAAAATATTAATAATGTAATAATTATATTAGCAATTAAAAATTTGCAATATATATCTTATAAATTTTAACAAAATAGATATATTTTAAATTGAAATTATATATTTTTATAAATCATTAATTGATATTTTTATAAATTGTATGATATTTATACATCCCAACATATTAATTGTATTATATTTTTTCATATATACTTTTTCTATGTATTTATACATTATTTGTGATTATTTGATTTTAAATTTAGTTTTATTAATATATTTATGGAGTTTATGTGTATTTTTTTAGCATATCCAATTGTTTCCATACTTTTCATCTGTATCTATCCATACTTTTCATCTGTATCTATATCCAAATTGTAAAGCCCTATTTGCTTTTCTGTAAGTTACTTACCTAGGTAAGTTTTTCCTGGGAAACACTTATTTGAGTATGTGCATTTGCCCATGTTCTTTAATGTCTCATGTAAATAAACTAATGACCATTTTAGCCATAAAAACTCATTTTTAAAAGGGGCATTTTCTTCTCATTCAAGTGTTGACAACTTCCCCTTAAATGGAAAAATTATTTATCTACCTAAAAGGGTAAGTGATACCCAGAAAAATAAACTTTCCCTTATTCCTACATAAATCTTAAAAAAAAACTAGATTTTTCTCATCTCAAAATCCAATAAAAAAAAAGTAGATGCCTCACCGATCTAATTGAGCCACGTCTCCACTATTAAATAAAAGGCAAATCATAAATTTCACATTATTTGGCTGTTTTGATATATATGAGACGTTAGCATGATATAGGTAAAAGAGTGAGTGAATCGAGTTCAGCTTGAGTCCCCCTTCTTTACAAAGCATTGAAGATGAGATACAAGCGGTTTCACCGTGGCCAGACCTTGAGCCATTTCTTCTCCCAATCTCCCTTTTGTCTCATTCTCTGTATGGCTTCTTCTCCCAATCTCCCTCTCTGTCTCGTTCTTTGCAATGGCCAGGCCTTGAGCTATTTCTTCTCCCAATCTCCCTATGTGTCTCATTTTCCTCCATAGCCAAACCTTGAGCCATTTCTTCTCCTAATCTCTCTATTTCTCTCATTCTCCACCATGGTTTCCTCTCTCAATCTCCCTCTTTGTCTCGTTTTCCACCATAGACAGACTTTGAGTTTATTTCAGGGGTGTTCTACGGTGTGGATGAGAAATTGGTGGGTGTGAATTAACCCACACCCTACCCTATGATAGGGACCAATCCATACCATACTACAGTCCGTAGTTGTTCTGAACTGTGAAGAAGTTGTGTGGATTGGACTAGTCTATACTCACAATGGCGTTCTGTAGGTATGGTTTGGACTAATCTACACCACGCTTTTTGATTCCATGTATCTCATATGCATTTTATGAATGATCTATGTAGTTAATCATAAATATTTAATTTTTGCATTTTATATGATATATAAATATATTGAAAAATGCATCAATGAATTAATAGTAACCAATAAATATTAATTTTTTATAAAAACAATTGTAAAATAATTAAAAATTTAAAAATTAAGTAAAATAATTAATATTTTATTGAGAAAAATATTAAAATGTGAAACAGACAATAAGATTTCAACCTTTTAGGAAGAATGTGATGCAGGGGATAAAAAATATACTATGAACTGGCCCTAACCACGAGTTTTTGCTATGGATGAAAAGTTGGGGTGTGGACAAAACCAGTCCACGATATAGCACGGACCGATCCTTTGTGTATCGTTCGCTGTGGATGAGAAATTGGACCGCCTTTTTCTCCCAAGATGTGATGCATCATGCATCATATCAATTCAAAACTTTGCCACGTTGGATTCACATCATGTTAACGGATACAAAAACGAGAAAATGATGCATTCAACTTTTTCTCATATCACATCTTCCGAGGCATGGTTGTTTTCTCTCTAATTTCTGAAGTAACGAAACCAAACAACATGCTGTTTTCTAAAGCAATGTATTTTTATGTGGTGCAGATATGACATCGTTTTCTAGGGCAACAGCGTCGATGCCAAACACCAATCAAGTCAATTAAGGTTAAAGAGAAAAAATAAGGAAAGTTTAGATGGATATTTCAATTAATTTAAAGCAATCAGTAGTCTGACTTAGATGCTTAAAAAGTTTGGATTAACCACGTGGACTCATTTGACCATTAGTCTGTATTTGGCTTGAAGGAGAGGTTTCAAAATAAATGATTACTCGCAGTCATTGATTCGAAATTTCGAATCAAACACGACCTTAATGATTACTCGCAGTCATTGATTCGAAATTTCGAACAGACGGTTTCAAAATAAATACAGAGGCATTATTCTCTTTATTCATTACTGAATTTCACTTTACAAATTTGTATAGTTATGACATTTTTCTTTGGCATGTAACTGTAATAACTAACTTTCTAACTATAATACAGAAAAAAAAAGGATTCACCGGAAAAAGAAAAGCATCCAAGGGAAGGCGAAGATGAAGATGCAAAAAGTCATACACATGGAATCCGATCGCGCTTCTATTCTCAGCTTACTCTCTTTCCTCTCTTTCTTCCTTCTCAAATACTCCTCGTACCTCTCTCTGCTTTCCTCTTTTCTTCCCTTCTTCCTCTTCCCGCCGTCCATCGCCCTCTGTAACATTACCAGACTCTCCTTTCCAGTCAAACTCGTCCCATCCATGTCTGCAACTTGCAAGCTCACTTCCTTCACTTGCATCTCCGCTTCTTCGCATCCCCCGAAGGTTACCACTATCCCGCACAGGACGAATTCCCTCGCCCCACCCGGATCTCCGGCCAGGATCATCGCGAACTTCGCCTGTATCCCCTTCGACAGCCAGTGCCGCTGCACCGAGACCGGCCTCCAGCTCGACAGGTTTGCCGCTCGCCGTCCGGTCGGGTCGATCATGATCCAGCTCAGCTTCAAATTTTCCGCAAGGTCTTGACACACGTCGTCGCCCAATCTTATTGCAGTTGGAACCATGTCTTTTGGGTCGACGAGGTCGACCCGGAAGGGGGAGCACTGAAACCAGCTGCCCAGCGTCTCGGTCTCGTGGACCTTCGAGAACAGAAGGGTGCCCCGGTAATGAATATCCACCGCCGAGATTATCTCGGGAGGCAAGAGAGGAGGAGTGTGATTCGGCGATGGAGGTGGGTCATGCTGAGAGACGAGCAGGGGGAAGGAATCAGAGAAGAAAGAGCGGGAGCCGTCCGGGAAGCTGGAAACGATGTTGCAGACTCGTGGGTTATCGGTGGAAGGCCATGCGGAGTGGCATATGTCTCTCCAGAGACTTTCTTCATTGGACAGATCATACAACTGAGAGGACACGCAGCTGACGGAAGCCAGCGACGGGCCGTCGAGGCGGGTGAAGATGTGTGCCTGTAGGACGTCGAAGTGGATCGCGGCGATTGTGGTGATGGCTCCGCCTTCATCCTCACCGACGGAGGTTGTCGTTTCCGGTGATGAGGTAGGAGCAGAACAAGACATTCTGATTTCTGAATTTGTTTGGTTAGAGGTCTTTTGTCACTTATGTGGCGGGATCCGGATAAAGTATATAAAGGGGCATTACAAAGATTTAATTTCACAGAACGGCACTATTTTTAATTTACTACAAAAAGAGTCAGTATTTTGGCTGTTTCAAATTGTCAATTGTCATTTCTCATTTGTCAAAAGCCAAAGGGGTCAATCTGCATTTTTCTGATTTTTATGGAGGATAAATGAAAATTCAAGTCAGCCACTCCCACTCGGCTTTGACCTTTCTATTGCGAGACTGCCAGACTGGGGCGGCACTCGGCTGGCACGTGGATTTAATGCACTATTTTAAAAGTGTGTGGGTCCTAGAAAAAAGTATGATTCGTCAACGAGCTTCGCAACTCTTCGAAGCTTCACCCGTTCACCGTACATATGCACTTACACGAGTTGTGAGTTATGAGTTATGACTACGAGTCTACGACTGCACACGATTTGTTTGTATTCGGATTCAAATCGGATCTTAGTCTTGATTTATATCGGATTCGAATAAAATTCAAATTGCAATCGCACATTGATTAGTATAAGTTAAGTTAAAAATGATTAAAATATTATATTTTGTCAGTGAATTTAACTGAAAATGACTGATGTTTAGGACTGTCAATAGATCCGACGGACCCGATGGCCTTAAACCAATGGGGCCGGTTCGGAACAATTCAGTTACAAACTGATTCAGACCCGACTCGAGTCATATTATATATATAATATGGTAAATTTCTTAAATTACTTTTATGGTTTAGTTAATTGATTAAGTGTACTTTTTTTGTTTGAAAATTGTCTAATATTATTCTTATTGTTTCTAACAATTGATTAATACTTTCCTTATTGTTAATATTTTATCAAAAACCATTCGAATGTGTATCACACTGTTATAACTTCCAAAAATATCTAATTTACGTTTATTATAAACTTTCAATACCGGTACCAACACTGGCATCGGCTCCAATGGAATATCTCATTGTCCCCTTTCGCACAAGCATTGGCATCTCTAGCACCAACATCTATTACTTGCGGTTAGAAATGGACAGTCATCATCTCCGGAGGTTTGAAACAAGCATCCACATAACGGTTGATTCGCTGGTTTGGAACTCCGGCACCGGCACCTTCTGGGTTTGAAAAGAATTCAGAGTGCTTTCTCTTCCTGGAAAAACAAAGACTGAACCCTCTTCTTCTTTCTTCTCTTTCTCTCTTCTTCTTCCTCTCCTTCCCCTGACCATCGATGATTTCTCACCATTTTCCGCCATCACCACTGTATCACAAGTTTTCAAACACACTGCTCAGTCCTAGCAAAACCCACTGCCCAGTCCTGTTCATTTTCTCAAACCGCGCCCAATGACGAAGCAGCTATCGGCTAAGTCACTCCTCCAACTAGTTGTGACTAGGAGTGTAAACGAATTGAATTTAAATCGGATCAAGCAATATCCAAATTCGATTCAATATCCGATGAATATTAATATCTAAATTCGATTCAATATCCGATGGATATTGAAAATTAATATCCGAATTCAAATCCGATTAAATATTCAAATATCTGATTTGATTCGAATTCAATTAAATAATTATTTTAGATAATTAATAAATATATAAAATAATTATTTTATTGATATAAAATATATAAATATATAAATTATTTATATAACTTAATTATTATATATAAATTATAAAATATTTTACACCCAATTCAACAATTTAATTATAAACTCATGCCACTTAACACTATTGCCAAGCTCCTAGCTTTGAACCCAATAGCTTTTTTCTTAATATGGCCTCTACAATTATGGTGAATCTCCAAGCGACGGCAATGTCTCAAACCCTGTTCACTGTTTTCTAGCCATAATGTCTTCTATCTTTGATGCCTTCTTAGCTGGAATTGCATCCACCATACGCTTGGGACATGCATATGATTTCTTTTCATCAATTCTTTGGTAGCTCTAGACGACAAAGCAGCTATCGGCTAAGGAGCGGGCGCCACTACCAGAACTAGCAGTCGGAAGGTTTTTTGAGCTCTTTGTACCCTTCTCTGTTTTCACTGCTCCATCTCTCTCTAGACGACGAAGCAACTATCGACTAAGGAAAGGTGCGGTGGGTGCCACTACCGAAACTAGCAATCACAAGGTTTTTTGAGCTCTTGCAATTTCCGACGAGGTGGTGTTTCTGTTTCCGACGAAGTGGTGTTCCATGAGTTCTGATGCAGCTGCTGGGGGATCTGATGAAAGGATTGCTTCTAAATGTGGATAAGGGCAGGAAATCTTTCTGCTTGACTTCAGTTTCGACTAGTCCACGACAGGTGGCCAACTGTGATTCATCATCCAACGGGAAGGTTCCTAAGAATGTCCATTGTAGAGAGACAGAGCGCTCTGAATTCCATCTTTAGACTGTCTTTGTTTTTCCATCTACTATTCTAGATTTTGAGTTAATCTTGTAAACATTTAGTAGGTTTGAAGGTCTTATTTTGAAAAGTTGAAGAAGTATAAAGAGTAAAATAGTCTTTTTGTCTTTCTATTAACGGATGCTAATAGTAAAGGGAGTATTAGTCAATTATCAGAAACATTAAGGATAGCATTAGTCAATTATCAAACAGTAAGGGTACACTTAGTCAATTAGTTAATTCATAAGGGTAATTTAAGAAATTTACCTTATTATTACATACATCGTAAACTTGATCCATTGACAACCCTATGTTATATGCATGAACAAAATGAATTGAAAATTATTTATATACAACTTGGATATAAAGTAATTTAGTAAAAATACAACATTTTTAATGGGTGAAAACACAACTTCAAATCTTTAAACCACTTTTATTATTTTGTATAATAGAAATTTTAAGTATACATGAGCATCTATCTATATATATAAAGCAAGACAGTTCATGTCAACATGCCTCTCCTTTCTCCATTTCCCACCCTACATTCTCCTTCTCTCTCTCCTCTTCCCTTCCCACCACTCCCATTAAGTGATGTCACCATTCCCAATCCAACTACCTAAAAATATTCCTAAAACCTCTTTCCTAAGGTAGTTTCTTTAACACATTATTAGCCTATCATCTTACCCCACTTCCCAATCAATTCCTTAAATCTCTCCCCCAATCTATATCCACTCTCTCATTTTAAATATCCATATTAATTAATAAATAGTTAAATATGGTTAATATTTAATCCAATCCATATTCAATGAGTATTAAATAATGTTATTATCGAAAGTTAATAAATACAGTTAGTAAATTAGTAAAAATTAAATATACTTATTAGTACAATTAGTAAATTACTAAAAATTAGTAAATATTGTTATTAATTAACTCACCATGACTTTTTAAAGTATTTTGGGTAAATATTGTTATGTTCATGTTAATTAATAACATTTTGTAGAAATTGAAAACTCTTTAACTAATTTCTATAAAATTGAGAATTATATTTAACAATTATCAAAAAGAATAAAATTTAGTTATTGCTATCATTATAGTTAATAACTGAATGCAGGTGTGGGGATAAAATATTATAATGTTGTAAAATGAAATTATTAATTAATTTATATCGGAAAATAAAATATAAAATATTGTAATTTTGTTAGTAAACTAACTAATAAAAATAAATATTTAATAACAATTTAAAATAATTTTCAATATATCTAAATAATTACACAAATGCAATAAATTTTCCAAAAAAAATTATAAAACCACATTTTCATAAAATAACATTTTGGAAATTAAAAGATGTAAAATTTTTGAAAGTTTATTTAAAATTATTAATTATTGGAATATTTTGGAAATTTTAGGAAAATTTGTTACATTTGATAGATTTTGGAAAACTATTGAAAAATTATGTAATTTTCATAATAAATTATTGAAAATTATTAATGATAAATGAGTATAGGAAAAGGAAATTATTGATTAGTTTGTATTGGAAAATATAAGATAAATAAGTGTAATTCTGTAAGTAAACCATTTAAAAAGAAAATAATTGATTTAATAACAATTTAAAAATAAATTTGAAAAAAAATCAAAATTACACAAATGTATTAAATTTTCTAAATTTTTACAAAATTACATTTTTGAAAATTAAAAACAATTTGTGTACTTTTAGAAATTTAACATATGCTTAACACTTAGTATATTATTTTGATCATTTTTGTCATCAAATTAGATATTGGGCTGACAAGGAGTGGGTGTCTTGCTTTGAACCCGCCCAACACCAGGGACGGGGTGAGGAAAATTATAAGATTCCCCATCCTTGATGAGGAGTGGGTGCCTTGCCTTGAACCTACTTGACACTGGGTAAGGGGTGGGAATAGGGTAAAGTGTCTTGACTATGGGGCGGGGACAGGGATGGGGTGCCCCCAAACCTGCCCTATTGCCATTCTTATATAATTGTTAATTATTAGTGAAATTAATAAAAATGTTAGCTTCTATAATTATTTTTATTTATTTAAAAGTCAATCAAAATTTCATTTAAAAATAACGGAAATAATAACAGTTATTAAAATTACTACAAATGATTAATAAAGTTAAATTTATTAAAAAATTGTTTATATTAAATTAACAATAGTTATTTTCTATAAATGAATATTAAATTAAAATAAAATTATTAAAATTTTAAATATTAACAATAACTTTGAATATTTTTAATTAATTAATAACAAATTTTGATTATTAATTTATATCCCCGCTAATATATATATATATATATATATATATATCGAATTAGGACATTTCCACATTTTGATTAATTCCGATCAAGTTTAATGGGATTTAAGCCAAGTTCAAATTCGGACAATCGGTTATAGTTCCGGCCCTATAGAATATAGTACAAAATTGGACTGACCTTTTCATGGACGTTGTCTTTGAGGCTGAAATGTGATCCGATTTGACATATTACATTATATAAATTAAATAGATTTCAACTTTGACCTTTTTTTTTTTTTTGTTAAACAGATTTCAACTTGATAACAATTAAAAAGAAAACTCCTCTTTATATTATGCATTTTTAGGCAAATAGTACGGTGACGAAAAAGTTTTGGGAGAACGATTATTAAGTCCAGAGTAAGAATT